CCCAACTTGAAAAACATCTGTCCAGACAACTGCTTTGAGACCACCCTTGGAGGAGAAAGTGTATTATGATTAATGCTTTCATCAGACATGATTGCATATGCTTATACATTATGTGGGGCAAAAAAATGATGGAACCATGGATGTTGGCCAAGTACACTCAAGCGAGATGGTCAGGTTGGGAGAACCATTATAGGATATTTAGGTCATGCCCTCAAGCATAAGCATAAGTGAAGATGGCAATTCTAACAGCAGAGAAAACAGGCTGGAGAAAAAAGATACAATTGCATAGCCTGTTCAGTGTAGCTACACACACACACACACACACACACACACACACACACACACACACACACAGAGTGGAGTGGTACAGGGAGAATTATTACAAAGAAAAGTCTTGAGTCAAATGATAAAAGTAAGTTTTTATCCTATTAGCATGGCTGCTATTCAGTTATTCTGTACCCAGATAGATCAGATGTTGAAACATTAAAAATATTTTCTTGTACTAATTCTGCTATAAACTTTTAAAACATAGTCTTTCACCCTCTATGACTTGGGCTTAATCCATCCACCCCCTGAAGACTTTATCTTCTATAAGATCTAGCAACTAAATAATATTTAGAATATCAAAGATCCTATAAGATTTGTATTAATGAAAAGGACCAGAGCTATGTCATAGTTGTTACATATTTTGCCATCCCTCCCTATAAACTATTGGAAGATATCACAGGTTTCTACACCAAGGAGTTGTGTCCTATAGCTATAACAATTTGGCAACAGCAGGAGTGAATAGGGAGATCATAAGGACCAACACAGTGGTTCAGATAAGGGAAAAAAATTCATCTGTTCTACCAAAGATCAAGTTTTACCCCAGACCAAATATCCTTACAGAAGTGTTATACCCAATTTGCAGCACACAACCATTGAGATGTCAATTTCAGCAGGCGAAGAAGGGTGAAAGGGGAAATAATGTTCTCCACGTACCAGCGTGCAGTAGAATGTGCAGACCACACCCGTTGCTACCACTGCACCCCACAGATCAAATCCCGTGACTGTGGGAGAAGAGAGAGCACACGCAATAACTTGGAAATAGGCAGTACAAAATATTCTGCAGGAAGTGGCGCTGTGGCTCAAGTGGTAGAGCGCTCGCCTTGAGCTGAAGAGCTGAGGGACAGCGCCCAGGCCCAGAGTTCAAGCCCCACAACTGACAAAGGAACAAAATAGCCAAGAACTCCTGTCGGGGTTGTCGGGGCGGGGGGGGGGGGGGGGGGGGGGGGGGGGAGGAGGGGGCAATACTCAAGGAAATTAATACCTCATAATACCTGACTTCAAACTATACTACAGAGCCCTAGGAACAAAAACAACATGGCACTGGCACACACACAAAAACAACAACAAATAGACCAGTGGAATGGAAGACTCAGAAATAAGCCCACACCGGTTACATCAAGATGACATTTCATAAAAAGTAAATGCTGGGGCTTGGGAAGTGGCTCAGTGGTAGAGTGCTTGCCTTGCATGCATGAGGCCCTGGGTTCGATTCCTCAGCACCACATAAGCAACAACAACAAAAAAAGCTGGAAGTGGCTCCGTGCTCAAGTGGTAGAGTACTAACTTTGAGCTGAAGAGCTGAGGGACAGCGCTCAGCCCCAGAGTTCAGGCCCCATGACAGACAAAAAAAAAAAGAAAAGAAAAGAAAAAAAATGGTTTTGAAATTTAACCACAGTCAGAATGGCTACTTTCAAGAAAACAAACAACAAATGCTAATGAAAATGCTGGGGAAAAGAATCCTGACACACTGTTGGTGAGAATATAAATTAGACCAGCTATGATGGAAATCAATACAAGATTTCTCAAAAATCTAACAACAGATTACCATAGGATCTGGGGATACTATTCTTGGGCGTATAGCCAAAGGACTACAAGGTAGAATAAAACAGACACACCTATACACCTATGCTTATTGTTTATTGTAGCACTATGCACAACAGCCAGCCTATGGAATCAGCCTAAATGCCCTTCATCTGATGCAATGGAGAAAGTAAACATGGTATATACACACAATGGTATGTCATTTACCCACAAAGAACAATGAAACTAATGTCATTTACAGAAAAGTGGATGGAAGGGGATATCAGGTTGTTAAGAAAAAGAAGCTTTCAGCCAGGCACCGGTGGCTCATGCCTGTAATCCTAGCTACTCAGGAGGCTGAGATCTGAGGCTCACGGTTCAAAGCCAGCCTGGGCAGAAAAGTCTGTGAGACTCTTATCTCCAATAAACCACTGGAAAACCAGATGTGGTGCTGTGGCTCAAGCAGTAGAGTGCTGGCCTTGAGCTGAAGAGCGTAGGGACAGTGCCCAAGCCCAGAGTTCAAGCCCCATGACTGACAAAAAAGAAAAAAAGAAAGAAAAAGAAAAAGAAGCTTTCAGAAGGACGAAGATCACATATTTTCTCTCATATGCAGAATTTACACCCAAATTACATGTATATATGCACATATAATATTTTAATTACAGGGCTGTTTGGGGGAAGATGGGAGAAGAAAAAGCAAGAGAATGATGAAAGTGAATGATACTGAACTGTCTTGTCTTTATGAATGAAAATGGCATAAGAAAACACACTGAAAGCTGTTGAAAATGGGAAGAAGAGGGGATAGGGAAAGAGTGGTAGATGGGTGAGCCCAAACAAAGTACAACAGAAGCATTGTGAAAAGCCTTGTGCAACCCCACTGAGCAATTAATAAACTACACAAGCATAGAATACTTCATTATATATAAACTGAATTTCAAAAACCCGGCCTTTAACTTTCAAAAGCAAGAAATGGAAAACTAAGAGATAGATCAACTAACTGCAATTAAACTTACTTGGATATTGTATCTAACAAACACTGAAAAGAAAATTTTTAAAAATTGAGCACTGACTTGTTAGGATATTAAGGAGTTTATGTTAATGCTTTGGATATGATTATATAATTATCTTTATTTTTTTTTTTAAAAAAGGGCTGCCTAGCATGGGCAACATCCTGGGTTTGGCCCCCAGTACCAAAAAAGGAAAGACAAAAAAAGTAATAGTTAAAAAATAGAAAAAAAGAACAGAATCCTTGATTTCCTCACCGATTAAAGCAGTGCTCTGGTTATGCCCAGAACTATAGTTTTAAACCCTAATATTTTTAATTACACTTAAAGTCAATAGGTAACTTATAAAGTCCATAGCTTCTTTTTTATTATTATTTTTTTGCCAGTCATGGGGCCTGAACTCTGGGCCTGGGTGCTGTCCCTCAGCTCTTCAGCTCAAGGCTAGCGCTCTACCACTGGAGCCACAACACCACTTCCAGCTTTTTCTGCTTATGTGATGCTGAGGAATCGAACCCAGGACCTCATGCATGCAAGGCAAGCACTCTACCACTGAGCCACCTTCCCAGCCCCCATAGCTTCTTTCTTAATATATGAAATGACCTGTTCTTGATGTTGGTAATGTTTCTGTGGGACATGCCTGGAACTCAGAGGTGAAGAGCACTTCATATAATGGACTACCTTTTTGTAATGATATTGTCATACTGTGCAGACTGGGTGGAGAGAACTACCAGACTTGTCACAAAAGCCACAAAATGGAATGTGGATTGAGTAGGGTTGCTCCATGTTATATTAATTCTAGAAATTGCACCACATTCTTAACCATCACAGAGTACACTTGTCCATTCCATAAGGAAGTTCTAGAGATTAAAAATCACTTCCACTGATAAGAATTCAAAGGACATGGTGTTTCCCCCAATGTCTTTTGAAACTATGACTAACATGAACCTTTTCCTCAATAAATGATTACATTTCCACAGTACTTTTTTCTGCCCTGAGCTAAAGATTATAAATAATCTCTTGATGGGCACATTCGTTATTTATAAGGACTCTACAGCCGACTGTCCTTTTGTCACCAGGAGCAACCTGATGTTAGATGACATGGGTAGTTTCTCTACTGTGGTGCATAGCTGGTCATGAGTTCTGCTTTTCTATTAACCTACAGACATTTTGGAACTATCCATTCCAGAAACTCAAAGAAGCTAGAATGGACATTAAACACATCTTACTTCCTTTATAAAGGTGTTGGGGGAAGGTGGGGTGGGGGGAAGGATAGAAGCATCTGTCTATCTCTCCATCTTCTCCAAGAGAGAATAAGCCTTACTGAAAATGAACCCCAAACCACGAGTAATTTATGTGACCACTCTAAAATGTACCTTGATTCAAAGCCAGGGCAGGGGCATAAATAACAATTCCAGTATACAAAATCTAGGAAAGAGGAAATAAGAAAGCCAAATGAGTTATATGAACAATAAGATCCATGAATTTAGATGAGTATAAAATAAAATTTGTCTTTTTCTATAAAGTCAACAATAAAGTGGAACTTCAGTTTCAATGTAGTTATTCAAATTTACTTATAACTTGAAATATGTTATTTGAATAAAGTTTATTTTTCTTTCTGGATCCTCATACCTTTCAAAATTCTTTTGTCACCAACTTTTTGTAAAACTATGGATTTTTACCATTAAAAATTTTACCATTATAATTGTGAATCATCATTGATGTTAAAACCAATTTTTCTACACTTAAAACAATTGAAAATGAAGCTGGACACCGGTGGCTCATACCTGTCATCCTAGCTACTCAGGAAGTTGAGCTCTGAGCACCATGGTTTGAAGCTACCTGGGCAAGAAAGTTGGTGAGACTCTTATCTCCAATCAAACACCAAAAAGCTAGAAGTAGAGGTGTGGCTCAAGTGGTAGAATGCTAGCTTTGAACAGAAACACCAAGTAAGAATGCAAGGGCCTGAGTTCAAATGCTAGTTCCAGCACAAAAATAACAATAACAAACATGATATGCAATGTACTATTTGAGTACTTAATTTTTCTGATGAGTAGATACAAAGGACGAGCTTTGCTTACTCTGAGCAACTTTTCACATCCTGTTTTGGCACATATGAAGGAATTAGAATGTGACAAAATGTTGTCCTAACAATTGTCCCCCTTTTTAGTTCTGCTGGCAGTCTTAACATAGATCCTCAGAAAGTGTGAAAAGTTGGCAATTGCAAATTACCAACCTCAGTTCTGTGGGAAAATTTCCACCAGACCCCAAAGAACACTTTTGTTTACTGCACATATTAAGGACTGATAGAACTTGTATGCCTGTAATCCTAGCTATTCAGAAGGCTGAGATCTGAGGGTTGAGGTTCAAAGCCAGCCTGAGAAGGAAAGGCCATGGGATTCTTATCTTCAATTAGCCACCAAAAAAGCTGAAAATGGAGCTGTGGCTCAAATGGTAGAGTACTGGCCTTGAACAAAAAAGCTCAGGTACAGGGTCTTTGAGTTCCAGTCCCAGGACCAGCTACATAATATGCAAAGAAAACCATGGTAAATAATTTACAAGGGAATTCTGTTTGAGCAAATGCTTGGGTCACTTGGAGAAGTAGAATTGTTGATGAAATTGAAAGCCACATCCTTAACCTCCATCAACATGCCCAGCCCTACAATGCTCAGCTGTAGGAAGAAGATGGATCGCACGTGATGTGACAATGATTTAAAAAAAAAAAAAAAAAGACAGCATTCAGATAGAGAGTAGGAAGCAAATCCTTGCTTTTCATTGTCAATCAGTAAGTCTATATGTGCCTATTATTGAATTACCTGATTGCATATTTTTCTTTTAAAAATTCTTCCAGCTTGGGCTGGGAAGGAGGCTCAGTGGTAGAGTAGCTTGCCTTGCATGCATGAAGCCCTGGGTTCGATTCCTCAGCACCACATAATCAGAAAAAGCCAGAAGGGCGCTGTGGCTCAAGTGGTAGAGCACTAGCCTTGAGCTGAAGAGCTAAGGGACAGCGCCCAGGCCCAGAGTTCAAGCCCCAGGACCAACCAAAAAAAAAAAAAAAAAATTCTTCCAGGCTTGGAATGTGGCTTAGTGATAAAGTGCTTGCCTCACATGCATGAAGCCCTGGGTTCGATTTCTCAGTACCACATAAACAGAAAAAGCTGGAAGGAGTGTTGTGGCTCAAGTGGTAGAGTGCTAGCCTTGAGCAAAAGAAGTTCAGGGACAGTGCCCAGGCCCTCAGTTCAAGCCCCAGGACTAGCAAAAAAAAAAAATATATCCAGAGGTCATAATTCTGTATTTTTACACTGTCAACTGACTAATTGGGTCTTACAGTTCACTCTTTTTAAAGGGAAAGAGGCAATACTGCAATTTTAAAATCAGGGCTTTGTGCTTGCTGGTTCCAGTCCTTTATATTTTAGTTATTTTTCAGGTAGGATCTCACACTTTTCACTAGGATTGGTTTTACACCCAAATCCTACCACATCTGCCTCCTGAATGGCTGAGATTACAGATGGTACCACCACACACCTCACTCATTTTTCCCCAAATCGGTTCCACGATTCTCCCATCTGTGCTTCCCAAATAGTTGAGATTACAGGCATTAGGCACCACACTCAACCCTACAGTCCAACTTTTTAAAGAACATAGATGGATTTGCTTTTTAAAATATGCTTCCAAGCAAGTATATTTGTTTCTTCCTGTCTTCCTGTCAGTTTTTTTATATCTATTACTCATCATGTTGCAAAAATATCGTGAAACCATACAACTTGTTTCTAATGTTAGAATTCCCATTGTCAGTCATTGGAGCTCCCTTAAATATTTTTGTCATCTAATGATGCCATTACTGTCACCATCGTCTAGGTAGGGAAATGGGAGCATATTTTCCTAAGGCAGTATATCTGTTGCTTAACCAATACAATATTAAATTTTATTTTTCTCTTGAGCTGGTATTGGGGCTTGAATTTAGGGCCTTTATTACCCTCAGCTTTCTTGTTCATAGCTGGTCCTCTACCACTTAAGCCATGCCCTCAGAATGACACTTCTTACTGGTTAGTTGGAAATAGTCTCAAGGACATTTTACCCAAGCTGACTTTAAACCAAGATTGTCCAAGTCTCAGCTTCTTGAATAGGTAGGATTACAGACATAAGCCACCAATGCCTGACTACTGCAATCTTGAAATTCACTTAAACTGCTCTGGTGTTCTAGGAAGCAAAGCATTTGCTGTAACATTGTATCACAATCTTAAAGTATAAAGGTGTGGTGTCCAGTGTTTTTCATTTCCTCATTTTCAGCATTCTTTTTATTTTCTCTTTTTTTAACACAGGGGCTTGCCAAGTTGATCTTGAACTCATGATTCTCCTGTCTCCGCCTCCTGAGTGCTGTGATTGCAGACATCTATCAATCACCACACCATGCTCAGCATCTCTTCTTTATTTTCCATATGCTCCCAAGTAAGAGTCATACAGATACCAGGGATTAAAAATATTCCAGATGGCAAAAGATGAAATAAGGAATGGAAAGCTACTCACTGTTTGAACAATGAAGAGGACTGTTCCACAGAGACGAATACATCTATTAAATCGAAGTTCTAAATACTGTGGCCAAAAAAAGGAAAAGAACAGTTACGTGAATTCTCTGGACAATTACTTTTTTTATTAACAGCTTAAGCTTTGGTGCCCTGTTTTCACTTTCCTATTATTTATGTATAACAAATTGCCTTTTAGTATAATTCAGGAGATTTTAACACAGAAGTAGATTTGTGTAACCCCCATCCTAGGGTACAAAACACACCATCACCTTAGAAGCTCCTGTCCGCTGGTCCTTTGTATCTACTTCCTCATCACTAAACCCTATCTAAAATCAACCTGAAAGACTAGGAAATGAAATAGTATTATGGTTTGTTTGTTTTGATTTCCAGAGTAAGCAATCTGTTGTTTTCTCCTTTCTCTCAATATATGTCCATTTTGTGTGATTCGCTTGGGGGAATTAACCTTTTCCTATTGCAACAATTGTGATGAAATTGTCAAAGTGCCTTGTCTCTCCTGAATAAAAGGAGGTTATATGACTCTAAGGCAACCAATTAGCTTCTTTTCCCAATGGAAGGCCAGATATGAAGTGAAGTGAAGTGATTGGAGCAGAAGCTGCTATATTCTTTCCAAGATCTGCTCACACATCTTCTCACCCAGTTCATACCCTTCTATTATATACACATATTTTTGTTCACACACATCACCCAGGTCAGTTTGTTGTTGTTGTTTTGTTCAGTTTTATTTTGTTTTGAAAGAAGTTTCTCTATGCAGCCCAGGCTGGCCTCAAACTTGTGACCCTTTTGTTATGAGATTAGTTTCTGTTCCAAGCCATGACTCTGACCATTCCTCCACTCCCCTTGAAAGCTGCTATGCTTTATAGTATAATATGCTTATTTCCTGTAGTTAGAGTCCAGATTTCAAAGCTAAGGTTTTTTAACTTGAACATTATGAGCACATATGTTGTGGAAAGTGGTCAAAGACTGACAATAGTCTTGTCATGTAGCAGAAGAAAAAGAGAAAAATGGGCAATAAATAATCATCGGAGCGAAAGACATCTGATGTGTTTTCCCTACAATCTCAGCTAAGGCTGGGTGCCTTGTTCCCTCAGTAACTCTGAAGCAGGGACAGATAAGCCCAGGTAAGCACAGAGGATGCTGACGGTCAGAGAAGACAGCAAGGTTACAACCTAGTTGTTAGCAGAGCTAGGACACAAACTTAGAATCTTTGATTCCAGAATCTGTGCACAGAACCACATCAATAGGTATACAATCTGGCGGTGTGTCTAGGACTCAGTGCATAGGTGGCACTGGCATGTGATAAGGCCTTCAAAAATACCTTATGGGGCTGGGAAGGTGGCTCAGTGGAACAGTGTACTTGCCTTGCATGCATGAGACTCTGGGTTTAATTCCTCAGCACCACATAAGCAGAAAAAGCTGGAAGTGGTACTGTGGCTCAAGTGATACAGCACTAGCCTTGAGCTGAAGAGCTGAGGAACAGCACCCAGGCCCAGAGTTCAGGCCCCATGACCACCACCAACAACAAAAAATCTTATGGGTAACAAATGCACAATACAGTGTAGGGCCCTAGGAGTTGAGTTCTAGCCCCTGACCCAGTCCCATTCCTGACTCAGAGGCTTGAGGCTACTGCTCTATATCTCAGAGCTACTGCTCTCTATATCTGAGATATAGAGAGTAGTAGCAATGTAGAATTACTACATCACAGTAGTAATTCTTTCCTACATACAGGATTTTGGAGACCATCCAATAGTATAAATGGATGATGTTGCAAATTCAAAATGAAGCTATTAACAAGTTAGTGAGATCCATGTCCATGAGCATTGTGAATTAACATGTCAAAAATCATTTGAGGACATTTTGGAAGATGTTTTAGAGACAGCGAGTCTTTCCAAATTCTATAAACAGACAATGTGATAGAGAATCATTTTAGCAAACCTCTATTACACATGAATGACCACGGATAAACAGAAGCCTTCTCTTTTTCTAGGCAATTCTAGGTATCTGAATGTCTGGAAACTGAAAAAAGGAGTGAACTATAAGTAAACATGAACTAAATTATTTAGTTGAAGTAAATGTTCGAGAACACTTTCATAGATAGGTATGTATCTGTGTATATTGTGTATATGTGCATATGTGAGTCATTTTTCTCCAATATTGGCTAATCTAAGAAAATCAGTATGCCTAAATTTACCCAAGACCAAAACGAGATAGATCAAGAAATCTATTGATACTGTACTAAGCTGCAGAGGAAATGCCTACAGGCTTAAACAGAAGTTCACATCTCTGTGCAGTGGCATAGAGAATAGCTCCAGAACTGACAGACAAACCTACAGAGTAACAACAGATGTCCAAGTCAACTGAGATCTCTCATAGTCCTCAGGACACTAAATAAGTTAGGGTCACTAAGACTTCTGTGGATTAAAAAGAATTTAAAATTTACTTTAAATAAATCTGCTCAAACACACAGCTTCAGTTGGAACCAAAGGGACTCCAAAAAATGCAACAAATTAAATTGTTATATATATATATATATATATATATACATATTATGTATCTCAAGTTCACATCTACTTTTTTTTAACTTTTTTTTATTGTGAAAATACTGTACAGAGGGGTTACAATTACATGGGCAAGGTAATGAGTACATTTCTTTTTTTTTTTTTTTTTTGTCGGTCGTGGGGCTTGAACTCTGGGTCTGGGTGCTGTCCCTCAGCTCTTCAGCTCAAAGCGAGCGCTCTACCACTTGAGCTACAGCGCCACTTCCGGTTTTCTGGTGGTTTATTGGAGATAGGAGTCTCACGGTCTTTCCTGCCCGGGCTGGCTTTGAACCGCGATCCTCAGATCTCAGCCTCCTGAGTAGCTTAGGATTACAGGTGTGAGCCACCAGCGCCCGGCTAATGAGTACATTTCTTATCAAGCATTGTAGCCTTCTCCTTTGTTTCCCCTTCCTCACGTCTACTTTTTTTTAAATGCGCTACTTCTTTTTTTTTTTTAAGTACTCTACTGCTGAGCTACATCCACAGCACATAGCCTATTGTCAGAAGACAGTAATAAATAGATATTGAAAAAGATTGTGAACAGGTGATTTTCTAGCTATAGAAATGCAAATAGGGTGATTCTACATTTGAGCCAAAATGCCAGGGAGCCTTTGCTCATGGTTGGATTTCACATTCTGTATAGCATTCCACCTCTTAGCATGAAACCATAAATATAGCATCCCATAAGAAAGACTTTGCCATCACCAATTGATAGCAGTAATTTGTGCTGTCCCTAACTGGCTAGCAACCCTGTTTAATAGCTACAATGTGCCCCTAAATTCATGTATCTTGAACCACTTCCCTGGTCTTCTATGCACTGGTATCTGCCCTACTCAGGGCCATACCAGACCAGACCCACTAGAACCTTCAGAAGCAACTACTATATTTCCACATTGCGGTATATTGCTCTTGCTAGCTTAACTTACTCTTGAATCCCTGCAAAATCAGGCCTCTAGAGTGTCTCCCTTGAAAGTCTGTTTTGTGAGTATGAAGTCAGACAATGTATGTTAGCATGTAGCCCCGTGGCCAGTATGTATTAAATATTGAGAAGGTGTGAACTGTCATGTTTTAGCTGAAGTCTCTGCTAAGGTAGCTCTCATCACTGAATGTCTATGATAAATCAGTTTCGCCTTAAGTTAATGTTGAAACTCCAGAGAGACACAGGTCAGTGATTATGAGATCAGCATTCATCTGGAAAGACTGAGCTCTTCTTGCCAGATTATTCAAACCCTTTCCAAGTGTCAAAGTTGGTTAATTCAGAGCTCACAGACTTGAACATCTGAAGATTCTATCAGATAACACACATGCATGACATAAACCAGGTGTTCATATACTACAATGCTGGAATATTCTTCACATCCACTAAGAAATACATGTTCACATCTCCCTCAAAGCAAGAAGTCCCTTCTGTGTTGTCCATTCTCTTGTGTGTATTTCTGATAAAGTTATAAATGAAGGTAGATATTTCTCTTTCACAAGAAAGTAACTGCAAAGCTGGGCACTGGTGGCTCACATCTGTGGTCCTAACTTCTCAGGAGGTTGAGATCTGGAGGATAACAATTTGAGGCTAGTCCAGGTAGAAAAGTCCACAAAACTCCATCTCCAAAATAACCAGCAAAAATCTGGGCTCAAGTGGCAACACACCAGCCTGAGGAAGCAAGCCATTCAAGAGAAAGCACGAGGCTCTGAGTTCAAACCCTGGCACAGACAATAAATTCATTAATTAATAACAATAAAGTAATTGCAAACACCACCTTGGTACAGAAAGTACTAGAGATTCAATAGCTACATGCAGGAGTTTGGTGGCCACAGAGAATAAGTCTTCAATGTTAGTGCTCTACGACTTAAGCTGTGGCTCCACTTACAACCTTTGGGTTGCTAATTGGAGATAAAGACTCTTGCAGTCTTTGCTACTTGGGCTGGCTTCGAACCTCCTCCTCTGATCGTAGCCTCCTGAGTAGTTAGGATGTCAGGCCTGTGCCTGTTGAGGAATTCTTACTGCTAATTTTCCCAGTGACCCCCAACATCATAAGCACCACACTAATTGTGGCCAATGTTTATTCACCATGCACTCCATACCAGACTATTCTAGAAGCTACACCTAACTAACATCATCTCTTTTAATCCATCCAACAACTGGATGAATCGATGATGTTATTTTACTTCTAGGGTACAAAAGGTTAATTCAATAAGTGGCCCAAGGTCACACAGCTGGTGTAAGTGGTAGAATCTGATCTCCACTGCAAGTTCTGAACCAAAAGCTACTTAACCATTTGAGTACCCTCCTTTGGCAGGAATAGATGGTGTGATTCTCCCCCCACCCCCCATCCCTCACCATTGTCCTGGAAAAGTGAATGGCCCCCAAAGACTCCTTTTCAAGGAGTAGCTGAGAATCAAAGACACAAAAAGGTAGAAAGGACTGTTGGCCCTGGCCTATTCCATCGAGGGCCATAGCCCTCTTCCAGGACAGACATTCCCCAAGGAGAAGAGAAGGGAGATGAACCTGGCACACGGAGAGAGCGCCAAGTGGTAATAATAGCAATCTATCTCCCCAACCCTTCCCCGTTTACCTCGTAGGTGCTGGTGATTCCCAGTTTATAGAACACGGGGAGGAAGACCTCGGCACTGATGAGCACCACAAGAAAGTAGCTGATGGCAAACACACTGAAGACGGCTCCAAAACGGTAGACCTCAGAGGGGGTGCCCAGCACGGTGACGGCCGACATGAAGCTGGCGGTGAGGGACATCGCCACGGGCACGGCCGTCATGCTGCGACCCCCCATCAAGAAATCCTTGGAGGTCTGCTGGCCGCCCCCCGCGAAGGCGTAGTAGATGCCGATGGCGGCCGAGATGAGCAGCATGCCCGCGAACACCACGTAGTCCCACACCACGAAGCCGCCGATGTCCCGCCGCGCATCCATGTCTGCTGCGCGGTGGCCCGGGCGCCCTGCGCGCAAACTTGGGGAGCCCACCCGGCGATGAGCAGCCGGAACCCCGCGGTGCGCACCCCGGACCCCGCGATGGGCAGCCGGGACCCCGCGATGGGCAGCCCGGACCCCGCGATGGGCAGCCCGGACCCCGCGATGAGCAGCCCGGACCCCGCGGTGCGCAGCCCGGACCCCGCGATGCGCAGCCCGGACCCCGCGATGAGCAGCCCGGACCCCGCTATGGGCAGCCCGGACCCCGCTATGGGCAGCCCGGACCCCGCGGTGCGCAGCCGGGACCCCGCGGTGCGCAGCCGGGACCCCGCGGTGCGCAGCCCGGACCCCGCGGTGCGCAGCCCGGACCCCGCGATGCGCAGCCGGGACCCCGCGATGAGCAGCCCGGACCCCGCGATGCGCAGCCGGGACCCCGCGATGAGCAGCCCGGACCCCGCGATGGGCAGCCCGGACCCCGCGATGAGCAGCCCGGACCCCGCGGTGCGCAGCCCGGACCCCGCGATGCGCAGCCGGGACCCCGCGATGAGCAGCCCGGACCCCGCGATGGGCAGCCCGGACCCCGCGATGAGCAGCCCGGACCCCGCGGTGCGCAGCCCGGACCCCGCGATGCGCAGCCCAGACCCCGCGATGCGCAGCCAAGAACGCGCCGTGCAGCTGCGGTGCGGGCTCCGCTCGGCTCTACTTCCTTTGCTTTGCTTTAAAAAAAAAAAAAAAAAACAACCACCTGGGCGCAGGGGTGTGGTGCCCTGAGGAGATCACAGGCGACTTCCAGGCGTCGCCTAGGTGTCCGCCCCGAGCCTGCGCGCCGCGCCGAGGTAAGGATCTCAATCTCTCCCCGGCTGGCCCCGGAAGCCCCTGCGCCCCAGTGCCATCCGTGGCACCCACTCAAAGCCCGGGACTTCAGGGAGTCCGCGCTCGCGCCTCCCTGAGAGTTCACCAGGTGTGAGGGCTGGGGTCACCAGGGATCACCGCGGGGACGCCGCCGGGGGACCCACCCGCGGGCGGGTGACGGAGGGAGCCAGCAGCCGCGCCCCCAGAGAAGCCCCAGGGAGCAGATTTTATCAACTGGCATTTCAGGGACTGCGTGGTTTAAATAAGCAGGTGACCCGCGGGGGAGTGCGGGTCAAAGGACAATTGTCACGCCTTGAAATTTCAGCTTTCCAGTTCAACAGTTCAGGTCATGACAGGAAGATGTGGCGCGGAGATTTTCAGGTCGTCCTTATTAGATAAGTTAATGGGTGAGGGGAACGGCAGGCGCAGGGAGAGTACTTAGTCCGTCCTAAAACCGGTGGGAAGGAGAGAGAGAAGTTTGTGTCGTTGCTCGTCTGAGTTTCCCCCTCTCCCCCCCCCCTCCCCGCCCCAAGCTAACTTTTTCTAATCTGCAGTACAGTCTGTCTGATCCCTTCCAGCCCGGGGTGGAAATGGTATTTGCTGTTGTGTGAAGACCTCTGACACTGGACACCTTTGCCAAGAACTAGTGTAGCTCTTTTTCTTTTTTAAATGTTTTGATCATCTTTACGTCGTTGTACAAAGGGGTTGCCATTCGGTTTAGGAATATAACCCATCTTGTTCGGTGCCATCCCTTTCAACATTCTCACCCATCCTTCCCCACCCCACCCCCGTCCCTCACTTTTCTTAATTTTGTAGGATATACATTCAATTCTTGACTGCATCCCCCCCCCCACCCCGCTCCTTCTGCTCTTCATTTGTCTTGGTGTAATTTTTGTTAGCTTTGATTTTTTTTTGGGGGGGGGGGAGTCCGGTTGTGGGGCCTGAACTCAGGGCCTGGGTGCTGTCCCTCAGCTCTTCAGCTCAAGGCTAGCGCTCTACCACTTGAGCCACAGCGCCACTTCTGGCTTTTTTCTTTTTGCTTATGTGGTGCTGAGGAATCGAACCCAGGGCCGGCATGCAAGGCAAGCGCTCTACCACTGAGCCATCTTCCCAGCCCTTATTGTTAGCTTTGCATAGGAATCATTTCTTCAAAATGAAGACAGTGGTGAAATCACTTGCTCTAGGAAATGATGGAAATGCTTCTCTATTGAGGTCCAATTTAAGAACTCGTTCTTTTGATGACAATATTGTACTCCGCAAGGGCCACCAGTAAATTGGTACTAAACGCAGGCACAAATGTGGGCCCTTCAGACATTTGAAACAGGAAGTAGCTCAAGTGGTAGAGCGCTAGCCTTGAGCTGAAGAGCTGAGGGACAGCGCCCAGGCCCAGAGTTCAAGACCCACAACCAACAAAAACAAAAAAAATAGTAATCGTTATTGCTAAGTGTTAGTGGTCAGGCCTGTAATCCTAGCTACTCAGGAGGCTGAGATATGAGGATGGCAGTTTGAAGCCAGCCTGGGCAGGAAAGTCTGTGAGATTCTTATCTCCAATTAACTACCAAAAAAAGCAGAAATGGAGCTGTGACTCAAGTGGTAGAGTGCTAACCTTCAGCAAAAAAAAGCTCTGGAACAGCACTCAGGCCCTCAGTTCAAGCCCTAAGACTGGCACCAATAAAACAAAGAAGTCTATTAATCTTCAGTCAATCTATCTAGTCTTCTTTGCTATTCACTTAAATCTTTTTTTAAACGTTTGTCTGTTTATCATGCTATATTTTAATTCAGTGCCACTGACTTCAATCTGCACTGGTATGTTGTGCTTTACTGATCTCAATGTGGATTTGTCTGCTTCTGCATTTTAATATCACTAACAGTTTCTCAGAATCTCATGCTAAAGTCTTTCCAGCTTTCTAATTCTATGGCTTGTTGTTGTTGTTTTGGTGTCTATACTGGGGCTTGAACCCAGGGCTTAGGCACAGACCCTGAGCTTCTTTGGCTCAGGCTAGCGCTCTACCACTTGAGCCACTTCCAGCCTTTTCAGATTAGTTCATTGGAGATAAGCATCTCATGGACTTTCCTGCCCAGGCTGGCCCAGGCTGGCTTCAAACAGCAATCCTCAGATCTCAGCCTCCTCAGTACCATGCTGTATTATTAAATTTCTTTTTTTAAAGAATCCTAAGAAAAGTTATTCTATACTTCTCCTGAATCTTTGAAACCATGTTCCCAATCCTTCATCCCTTAGAATTTTTTTTTTTTTTTTGGTCTGGTCGTGGGGCCTGAACTCTGGGCCTGGGCGCTGTCCCTCAGCTCTTCAGCTCAAGGCTAGTGCTCTACCACTTGAGCCACAGTGCCACTTCCAGCTTTTTTTTTTTTTTTTCTGCTTATGTGGTGCTGGGGAATCGAACCCAGGGCCTCATGCATGCAAGGCAAGCGCTCTACCACTGAGCCACCTTCCCAGCCCAATCCCTTAGAATTTTACCATGGGACATATACTGATAATTTTTCTAGTATTCATCTTAAGTGCAAAAGCAATATCCAAGCTTAGTGTTACTTTCCATTGTATTGTTCCCTTCTTTTAGATTCCTGATTTTAGTTAGCTCAATATTATGATCATGAGATTTGCACAGATCAAAACCTTCCTGGACTGAGTAGTATTTTTCCGTTTCCCTTGCCTGGGCCTTGTGGTTAAATACTATCATTAAAGCTACAGGTTATAGTACCCACTGCACCTGGGGAGCTTTCATCTTCAACAATCTATAGGATATTATTCATGAGGACATCCCTTCTTCAAATTTGCTTCACATCCTTTCACCAGAGGTTTCTTGTGTAGAAATGTGGAAGCTCTTCTGAATAGTCTCTTTGTTTTGAAAATCAAGTAGTTAGAAGGGATGGGACTGACAAATGGTAGTGACTGAAATGGAAAAGGAATAGATTTTCTCATTGCTTCATAGTTTATGTAAGGACAGAATCTGATCCAAGATCTCTTGAATTTTCTCCAGGAAACAGTCATTCCACGATCAGCTGGGAACAATCTCCCTCATTTTTCTCTTCCCCATATGAATTTTTTCCCACTTATTAGTGGGAATCTTACCGGTCATTTAAAATAGATTCAATAGGGTTTTTCATGAAATATGTTACTGTTCCTAATTCTAGCTGCTCCACAATCAAGTATATATGGCCTTCTTCTTTGAATCCCTTTAGTACGTTCTTCTCATTCACTAGCCTGCAAAGTAAGAGAGTATTACACATATTTTTGTCAAGATTCTTCAATGAGGAGTAAGTAGCTCATGAGGTCAAAGTAGGACTTAAAAGCTGCCCTCCATATCGGCTTCATTTTTCCCTCTGCCTTCCAGAGAGATTTTGTCTGCATGACCAGAAATGTGCACACCAATGCTTATGAATCCTTAATGGACAGAATTCACAGGCCAATTGGAACTTTTGAATTCTAAGTCCCTGGAGAGGAAATCCTATTGGTAAGCTTATATCACAGGTCCTTAGGCCTCTCAACAAATCAGCAATGGCCAGACCAGGGCTGTCGTTGTGTCTTCCCAGCAATGAGAGGGTGGGGAAAGCAGGACTGGGTATCCATGTAGGAGATGGATGAGCTGGAGAAGCTCTGAATAACTCTTTCATTAATCACCTGAGTCTTGTATCATCTCTTGTGAGAAATCACAAGCTTTTTGGGAACAGCTTGCTCATCCTTGTAAATCCCCAGATACTGGCACTGTGTGTTACATAAAGAAAATGCTAAGCTTGTATTGGCACTGTTTTACAATCCCTGTAGGAACTGAGAAATTCCCAAGGATTTCTAAATACAAAATTGGGAAATCCAAGAGTAATCTTAATGGACCTTGAATGTAGACTTGCTCATATGCTTTCCTCTCAAGAGGAAAAGCCTCTTTTGAGAGAAAAATTAAAGGAAAATATGCTTCTGACAAAATTCCCTACTATCTTATGCTGAACCTTGAAATCACAATCACATTTTCTAGAGTATTCTGAGAAGACTTATCATATATTGTATTATTAATGTGTATCTACATATGTGTATATATGATACATGGGTGTACGCATGTGTGTGTGTGTGTGTGTGTGAGAGAGAGAGAGAGAGAGAGAGAGAGAAAGAGAGAGAGAGAGAGAGGGAGGGAGGGAGAGTCCCACAGACATGGGCTTGGTATAAAATATGCATCAGGCTTATTAACTATATTGATTCATCTTTAACTTAAAGTAGATTCTGTTGATTTTATCCACAAAATACAAAGTATAATATTGCTACAACTGTATGTCACATCACATTGTAATTGACTGAAGCTTCTTATTTTTCCTCAGTTGAATTCTGCAACTGTCTCCTAATTTATCTCCCTGCCTTATAGTCTAGTTACTGCATATGGATCTGAATGTAGCACTGCTTGCTCAAAATCTTCCACTTGCTTCCAAAATACTTGGGTCTTAAACCTGGCAGGCAAATCCCTCTCAAATCTAGAGTCTGGGTATCAGCTTCTTTACCCATGGACTTCTTTCCACTCTTTTTTTAAAATTATTTTTATTGTAAACGTGATGCACAGAGGGGTTACAGTTATGTAGGTCCGGTAATGAATACATTTCCTTTTGAACAGTGTCACCTCTTCCCTCATTTTTCTCCCAGGTCTTTCCCTCCTGCTCCCCCTCCCCCAACAAGTTATATA